CGCAACCCTAAAGCCAGGTCCGATTTCCAACTATCGTCGGAAGCGACACATGGAAAATTCCTATCGACAATGGCGCCTAATCAGTTGGTTGGATTTAAAGCCAAGTTCGCCCTCCCCGGCCATATCAATTTAATCCCCGTTGAGGGGGACGAAGTACATGTTCACCGCCACAGGTACTGCGCTCTATACGCTTCCTTGTTCGCTATCGGTTACTCGTTTCCTCTTCTCCTGCTGGTGGAGGAGTTATGCCGTCACTATAGCGTTTGCCCTGCTCAGCTCTCCCCAACATTTATAAGGTCATCAAGATGTTGACCAAGTTTTGCTGAGCTCGCCGGTGTTGAGGTGACTGCAGTATTTAGTGAACATGTTCGCCCCTATCTTCTATACGAGGACGATGTTGAACCTCTGTCACCGCGGAGACAAGTTCCTGGTGGTGAAGATGGATGATAAGACCAGCAGTCAATTCTGGCTTGATTTTTTTTACGTCAGAACTGAGGACATCGTGGCCAACGCTGACGGCTTCCCCGAGGCTTGAAATATTACATGTAAGTGTCTATATTTCTTTCGTTTTTACCTTTTGCATCTCTTCGCCTATTTTGGGCTAGTCAAGTAATTATTTTCTTGTAGCCAATATCTGTCCTCCCCTTCTAGCCGTACGCATCGCCAACTGGGCGGACAAGTTCTCCCTCATGACGCAGGGATTCGTGATTGGCCGATCTTTTTTAAGAAGTTCAGACCGATTCTCCCTTCAACAGGTAACTTCCTTTTCTGGCTGTGATCGTTGCCTCTTTTTGCTATGTTGGCTGGCTCTGTTAACTTTTATTTCTTCCTTTCTCGGGTCCGGTTAGGGGGTCATCTCGAAGGAGCAGGGCATCTGTGCTCTCGTTTAGGAGAAGGGCTGCTACACCTTTGGTTTCTGTCCCCGTTGTGGCTATTACGCCTCCTGCACCCGCTCCCGTCCTGGTTGATGCGACGCCATACCAATTGCTGCCTCTGCTCCTTAGCTATTTTTAATCAGATGAGGACCAGGAAGTCTCCCCCAATGATGGGGATCTAAGGTGTCACGACCCATTTTCTAAACAAGCCGTGACCGGCACCCGATCACTAAACATGACCGAGCGAACCATCTGAGCTTATCAAATCTATTATAACTGCAAACTTTATATGCAACAAGGCAATACTTTAACCAATTACTTTTGATTAATTTAAATTTTTAAAATAAATAAACTTCCAAAACTTTATTCTTAGTAACTACTGATATACTGCTAAGTTATTATCAAAAACATCTGAATCTTAACCCAACGACTATGTCTATGAAGCCTCTACTGATAAACTGACACACTGCTCAGGACATGAAATTTCCTGGCCAGTTCTCTAAGTAAACAAAGAAATAAGTAGATAAAGATGACTTTAAGGAATACTCCACGAACAAAAGTGGAGCTCACCAATAACACTGGTAGAGAGGGAAGTCTTAACCCGTAGCCTGTTCGCCTGCAAAATCGGTTCCTATGTTGTACCACAGACCAATGTAGGTTCCCAAAAGAGAATGTCAGTACCATCCATTGTACTCAGTGAGTCTCAACGACGGGGGACAAAACTTTAATAACATATATATTACGAGCAAAGATTCTAAATGCATGTAAAACATAAAGCTTATAAGAACAATTCTAAAATAATTGCATAATAGTAGTTTATGAATATTCTAAAAGAAATTCTTTTCTTTTTCTTTAAAAAAAATACTTCACTTTATACTTTGGGAGTTCCAACTATCCTGACCTATTTCTGTCTTAGTTACCGTGTGATTGGCACGGGTTCGATCCCAACCTGATCGAATAGGTCCAATCCACGAGGTGCCACTCGCTTCATGGTTCTCAACGCTCATGTATCATACCTTAGCATGGCTAAGTAAATTCTCAGCAACGAGACCCTCGGCTCGTGTGCTCCCTACTTTGGCACAAGTAATTTCAGGAAGTCAACGCCTTGGTCAGGACCCTCGGCCTGGACGATGACCCCTTCTCAGAATAAAGGATACTCCCAAAAATCTTTTCTTTCTAAAACTTCTTCTTGTGACTTTTCAAGTCTAAATCTTTTCTTTTTGGAACATCATGTACGTGCTCATGCTGGTATCCTTAAATGTAAAACATGATATAAGAATAAAATAAACATCTAAAAGTATTTCTAAAGATTCTTGCTTCTTCATAAATTTTCAACATGAAAATAGCATATAAGAATAACATAAAAATCTGAAAATTTATGCACATATATCGGCAATAAATCATCTAAACTTTTGCTAGAACAATTCTAAGTTAATAGGTACTCACTCGCTCCAATTAAGTAAATATAAACTCTTTTAAGCAATTCATCAAACACCTTGTATACGTGCTTTTATGAGTTAAACCACTTTAGGAAAGGGTTATATCAACTCACCTCAAAACTTCTCGAGCCAATACGTAGGCCCCAGTCCAATTGACACCAGTCAAACAATCGATTCTACAACAACCAGTGCATTTTAATTAATTTTAAATTCTTGCACCTAAACACGGAACTTTACTGTTGATATAGAAAAAGAAGGGAATTAACTACTCAATTCTTACCTAATACTACTATAGGGTAATTGACAATAAGGAATTTTATATACCCGAGTTCAAGAATTAGTGATCCGTAATGAAACCTAGAATCTTCCGTGAGTATTTTGCTGTAAAGCTGCTGTTTCTTGGCAAACAGAACGTGGAGTTCTGTTCTTTTTTGTTCCTAAGGCTTATGCCTTTTTCCTGCCAAGAGCTCTTTATGGGCTTGGCTTGCACGCCCATTTTCTTTTGCTTTCTTCTTTTTTTATTTTTTTATTTTTTTTGTTTTGACTTAATTAGTAAGTAATGATACTCACTTTTAATAATTAATAATATTAAAATTATTAATATTTTCCTAATCGTATATCCAATTATTTAAATGTACACACACACACACACACACACACACACACACATATATATATATATTTCACTATAGGCAAGATAAAAATAATAGTAATAATAATAATTTAGTTCTATAATTAGCGTGTCTCGAAACTTCTATAAATTTGAGGAGTGTTACAATCTTCCCTCCTTAAAAATATTCGTCCTCGAATTTTGCTAGGGCCTTATTCTTAAGCTAACAATCATTCCTTAGGTCCTTGAACCTCTTATGTTTTCTTAGCACTACTCACTCTTCCAAGGGACTCAAAATTTTGGCTAACTCCCTATATTTTTAAAAATTTCGGCAGAGTTCCCTTGTAAATTGGACTATGCAAAAAAAATATCCATGTCACAAATACCACAACTACTCCAACAACAACCAAATATACCATAACGGACCATTCATAGGCACCATACACAGCTCATAAATTAATTACTCACACTCCGGCAAGGAGGTACCACAATAACTAACAAGAATCTAAAGCACAACACTTTAACGAAAGTAAATCACTTTAATGAGTTAAATGTACTCTAGAATGGCACTAAATTATTAAATAACTAAATATACTCTGAAAAAACTAAATTACTTCAAGAACTAAGTATAATCTAGCAAGGACTTTGCATTTAATAAATAAAGTATAAATGCCAAACGAAACCTAGGTTCACATACCTTTTTTCTCAAATAAATATGGATATTTCTCTCTCATATCTTCCTCGACCTCCCACGTAGCCTCTTTTGAATCATGATTACTCCACAAAACTATTACCGATGCTAAATCTTTTGTTCTCAATTTTTTTACTTGCCTATCGAGAATTTCTATAGGTACCTATTCATAAGTCAAGACTTCTTTAATTCTTATGGTATCGGCATGTATTATATGAAAATCATCATGAATGTACTTTCTAAGCATAGACACATGAAAGACAGGGTAGAGGAAAACTCAACGGGCAGCGCTAGCTCATAAGCCATGTTTCCCTTCTTTTCTATAATCTCATAAGGTCCAATAAATCTAGGACTAAGTTTTCCTTTCTTACCAAACCTCATAACTCCTTTCATTGGTGAAACTTTCAAAAACACCTTATCACCAACCATGAACTCTAACTCACGATGCCTCTTGTCAGAATAAGACGTTTGACGACTCTGAGCTGCTTTCAGTCTTTCTCTTATTAGCTGAACTTTCTCTAAGGCCTCACAAACAAACTCTGGACCAATCAACAGCACCTCTGCTAGTTCAAACCAACCCACTGGAGACCTACATCTCCGCCCATACAACGCTTCATAAGGATCCATACCAATGCTGGCCTGATAGCTGTTATTGTAAGCAAATTCTATAAGTAGCAAGTGATCATCGCAATTACCTCCAAAATCTATAGCACACGCACGCAGCATATCTCCGAGAGTCTGAATGGTCCTTTCTGCCTGGCCATCGGTCTGTGGATGAAAAGCGGTGCTCAAATTGACCTTGGTACCTAATCTTTTCTGAAATGCCTGCCAAAAATGCACCGTGAACTGAGGGCCTCTGTCAGATATGATTGAAACTGGAGTACCATGCAATCAGACTATTTCTTTGATGTACAACTGCGCATACTGCTCTGCGGAATCTATTGTCTTTACTGGTAGGAAATGCGCGGACTTTGTCAGTCGGTCTACAACAACCCAAATTGAATCATGCTTACGGTATGTGCGAGGTAGACCTACAACGAAATCCATATTAATCATCTCCCATTTCCACTGTGGTATCTCTATATCTTGAGCTAGGCCACCAGGCCTTTGATGCTCGGCTTTGACTTGATGACAATTCAAACATTTAGCGACATGATCTGCTACTTGCTTCTTCATGCCTTTCCACCAATACAACTCTTTCAAGTCCAGATACATTTTGGTAGCACCTGGGTGGATAGAGTACCTCGAACTGTGAGCTTCTTCCATTATGGCCTTCCTAAGACTATCTACATCAGGCACACATAACCGATCATTCAACTTCAAAACTCCATCACTTCCTAGGGTGAAAGCAGTGATTTCTTTGTTTCTGACTCCTTTTTTTAACTTCATAAGTACGGATCTTTGTCTTGCTTAACCTTAACATGCGCAACTAGAGAGGATTGCGCTAAGGCATAAGCAGTTATACCTCCTTCTTCGGTCTCATCTAGTCTAGTTCCATCATTTGCCAGTTTTTGAATTTCTCGACCCAAAGTTCGCCTTTGTATTGCAAGATAGGCCAAGACACCCATTGACTTCCTACTAAGTGCATCTGCTACCACATTAGCTTTGCCCGGGTGATAAAGGATATTGATGTCATAATCTTTCAATAGCTCGAGCCACCTTCTCTGTCTCAAATTTAATTCTTTTTGCTTGAAAATGTACTGGAGGCTTTTGTAATTTGTAAACACTTCAGAATGCTCGCCATAAAGGTAGTGTCGCCATATCTTTAGTGCAAACACTACTGCTGCAAGCTCCAAGTCGTGTGTGGGGTAGTTCTTTTCATGATTCTTTAACTTCCTGGAAGCATAAGCAATAACTTTTCCATTTTGCATACGAACACAACCAAGACCAACTCCGGAGGCATCACAATACACTGTGAACCCACTCGAACCTGTCGGCAAGGTTAACACAGGTGCAGTGGTCAACCTCTTCTTTAACTCTTGAAAACTCTGCTCACAAGCGTCTGACCACTGGAACTTAACTGCTTTCTGGGTCAACTTAGTTAATGGAGCTGCAAGTGAGGAAAATCCCTCTACAAACCTTCTATAGTAGCCTGCTAGCCCCAAGAAACTCCTGATTTCGGTTGGCGTTGTCGGCCTTGGCCAGTTTTTGACTGCTTCTGTCTTCTGAGGATCTACTTTTATGCCTTCACTAGATACCACGTGGCCTAAGAATGCCACTGACTACAACCAGAACTCACATTTTGAAAATTTGGCATAAAGCTCATTCTCCTTCAAGGTCTGCAAGGCTATCCTGAGGTGTTCGACATGCTCATCCTTGCTCTTAGAGTACACCAAAATATCTTCTATAAACACGATAATAAAGGTATCAAGGAATGGCTTGAAAACTCTGTTCATGAGGTCCATGAATGCAGCTAGAGCATTTGTCAACCCGAAGGACATTACTAGAAATTCATAGTGTCCGTAGCGAGTTCTAAAGGCCGTTTTAGATATATCTTCTTCTCTGATTCTCAACTGATGGTACCCCGACCTCAAGTCTATCTTAGAAAAGTACTTTTCACCCTGGAGTTGATCAAATAAATCATCAATTCTTGGCAGTGGGTACTTGTTCTTAATGGCAACTTTATTCAACTGCCGATAGTCGACGCACATTCTGAGGGGCCTATCTTTCTTCTTGACAAACAGGACCGGGGCACCCCACGGTGAAACACTCAGCCTGATGAAGCCCTTTTCAAGAAGGTCTTTCAACTGTTCTCTCAACTCATTAAGTTTTGCTGGAGCCATCCTGTAAGAAGGTATAGATATGGGCTGAGTGCCTGGCATGAGATCAATGCCAAAGTCTATGATTCTTTTAGGAGGAAGTACGCGAAGGTCATCTGGGAAAACTTCTGGAAATTCTCTAACAACTGGCACTGACTGAAGAGCTGGTGGTTCTGATTCTGGATTAATGATGTGAGCCAAATAGGCGATACACCCCTTACCGATCATTCGTTGTGCCTTAAGGTAAGAAATAAACTTACCTACCAGCGATGCTGAACTATCCTTCCACTCTAACACTTCTTCATTTGGAAATTGGAACCTGATAATCTTATCACGACAATCTAACATGGCATAGCAGGAAGACAACCAATCCATACCCATAATCACATCGAAATCCACCATTTCTAACTCTATGAGATCGGCCTCGGTGTTGCGGCCTTGGACTGAAACTATACAACCTCTATAGACTCTTGTGACTTTCATTAAGTCGTCAACTGGAGTAGATACTAGAAATGGCTCACTAAGTTGTTCAGGTTCTAGCCCGAGGTTAATTGCAAAGTATGGAGTCACATATGAAAATGTTGAACCTGGATCCATTATGGCATAAGCATTATGTGAGCAGACTAAAAGTATACCTGTAATAACTTCTGCAGATGCCTCTGCACTCTGACGATCAAGTGTCGCAAATAAACGGGGTTGTCTCCCTCCCTGAGTAACTCGATCTGCACCTCTACCTACCCCATGCCCGGTCTGATTGTGAGCACCATGAGCCTGAGGTGGTGCAACTGCAGTAGCTGAGGAACTAGAAGGACGAGTTGATCTACCACTAAAATTACGTCACAACTTTGGGCAGTTGGCCTTTATATGACCAATGTCTCCACAATGATAGCAACCATGAAACCCAAGCTTGTACTGACCTGAATATTGCCGCTTACATGTTCCACAAAAACCTTGTTGGTGTGAATGTTGCTTAGCATGACTCTGGCTATGTAAGGATGATGTACTAAATTTCTGATTCTGGCGAGACTGGTTTCTATAACTCTGAGTACATCTGAAGGAAGACCCACCACCTGACTGATGACTGGCCTGAGCTGGTGCTAATGACTCCTTATTGGAGGAACCCCCTCCACCTCCGCTGGATGTACCATTAAACCTGCCCGCTGTCCGGGTTTTCTTGTTTTGCTCTTTTTCTTCTCTCCTTTGTTGTCTATCTTTCTCTAAGTACTTGGCGAATCCCGCAATAGAGGAGAAAGCTGTCATTCCTACTGCTACAGCTGATGTCGTATCCTTAATGTGGTAAGCCAAACAACCAACAAATCTGTGAATCTTTGCTTTTTCTGTCTTAACCATGTGAGGAGCATGCTTAGCCAACCATATGAATTCCATGTAGTACTCTTGCACACTTTTATTCCCTTGCTTGAGCTGTTCGAACTCTGTAGCCTTAGCTTCCCTATCTTCTTCCGGGATAAAGTTAGCCATGAAGGCCTCTTTGAATTATTCCCAAGTAGGCGAACCATCATCTTCATCTCTTTCCTTTTCCCACATCTCAAAGCAAGCGCCAGCCACATCTCTAAGCTGATAAGTAGCCAGCTCCACAACTTCATCATCAAATGCCTTCATCGCTCGGAGGGCTTTCTTGACACCCTCCAGCCACAACATTGGATCTTCATCAACTATTGAACCATGGAACACTGGAGGACTCAACTTCAAAAATTCATTCACTCTTAAGGACTCAGAATTGTTCTATCTATTTGATTGAGGTGGAATCTCATCTCTTCTCTCGTTCTGGTTGGCCATGAAGGCTTTAAACATCTCCATAGCGCTGTTGACTGCATTAAACATCTGACCCATCTCTGGAGATATAGCTGTCTGAGCCGGAGCTGCTGTTGGAGGCGGCACTGGATCCTGAGGTACTAGATCATCATGCTCCACCCCATCTTCATGTTCAACCCGGGGTACTTGAACCCCCCCTCCCCCCCGTGGATTTACCCTTCCTTTTCTGAGTTGGAGCCTTTTTAGTTCTGCCTTGAGCCACAATAGTAGCAATAGTTTCTTGAGTAGCATCCTGAGTGTCGGTGTCAGAGTTGCGAGTACGAGCCATTTCTGCGAGTTTTGGAGAAAAGAATACTTTAGATAATTTCTTAGAGGTAGGCTCTACTGCACGATCTAAAGTATGAAAAAATGAGACTTTTCCTAAGTGCTTGTAGCCTCCTGTTTATAAGTATGGCGCACTTCATACCCATAAACAAGACTCTACTAACACAGTTTCATAGACCCCTAGGACTCCATAAACCTGAGGCTCTGATACCAAGTTTATCACGACCCACTTTCTAAACAAGCCGTGACCAGCAACCGATAACTAAACATGACCGGGAAAACCATTTGAGCTTATCAAATCTATTATAACTGTAAACTTTATATGCAACAAGGCAATACTTTAACCAATTACTTTTGATTAATTTAAATGTTCGAAATAAATAAACTTCCAAAACATTATTCATAGTAACTACTGATATACTGCTAAGTTATTATCAAAAATATCTGAATCTTAACCTAACGACTATGTCTATGAATCCTCTATTGATAAACTGACACACTGCTCAGGACGTGAGATTTCCTGGCCAGTTCTCTAAGTAAACAAAGAAATAAGTAGATAAAGATGACATTAAGGAATACTCCACGAACAAAAGTGGAGCTCACCAATAACACTAGAAGAGAGGGAGGACCCGTAGCCTGTTCGCCTGCAAAATCGGTTCCTACGTTGTATCGCAGACCAACGTAGGTTCCCAAAAGAGAACGTCAGTACCATCCATTGTACTCAGTGAGTCTCAACGACGGGGGACGAAACTTTAATAACATATACATTACGAGCAAAGATTCTAAATGCATGTAAAACATAAAGCTTATAAGAACAATTCTAAAATAATTGCATAATAGTAGTTTATGAATATTCTAAAAGAAATTATTTTCTTTTTCTTTAAAAAAATAATTCACTTTATACTTTGGGAGTTCCAACTATCCTGACCTATTTCTGTCTTAGTCACCGTGTGATCGGCACGGGTTCGATCCCAACCTGATCGAATAGGTCCAATCCACGAGGTGCCACTCGCTTCATGGTTCTCAACGCTCATGTATCATACCTTAGCATGGCTAAGTAAATTCTCAGCAACGAGACCCTCGGCTCGTTTGCTCCCTACTTTGGCACAAGTAGTTTCAGGAAGTCAACGCCTTGGTCAGGACCCTCGGCCTGGACGATGACCCCTTCTCAGAATAAAGGATACTCCCAAAAATCTTTTCTTTCTAAAACTTCTTCTTGTGACTTTTCAAGTCTAAATCTTTTCCTTTTGGAACATCATGTACGTGCTCATGCTGGTATCCTTAAATGTAAAGCATGACATAAGAATGAAATAAACACCTAAAAGCATTTCTAAAGATTCTTGCTTCTTCATAAATTTTTAACATGAGAATAGCATATAAGAATAACACAAAAATCTAAAAATTTATGCACATATGTCGCAATAAATCATCTAAACTTTTGCTAGAACAATTCTTAGTTAATAGGTACTCCACTCGTTCCAATTAAGTAAATATAAACTCTTTTAAGCAATTCATCAAACACCTTGTATGCGTGCTTTTATGAGTTAAACCACTTTAGAAAAGGGTTATATCAACTCACCTCAAAACTTCTCGAGCCAATACGTAGGCCCCAGTCCAATTGACACCAGTCAAATAATCGATTCTACAATAACCAATGTATTTTAATTAATTTTAAATTTTCGCACCTAAACACGGAACTTTACTGTTGATATAGAGAAAGAAGGGAATTAACTACTCAATTCTTACCTAATACTACTGTAGGGTAATTGACAATAAGGAATTTTATATACCTGAGTTCAAGAATTAGTGATTCGTATATTTTGTTGTAAAGCTGTTGTTTCTTGGCAAACAGAACGTGGAGTTCTGTTCTTTTTTGTTCCTAAGGCTTATGCTTTTTCCTGCCAAGAGCCTTTTATGGGCTTGGCTTGCACGCCCTTTTTTTTTTTGCTTTTTTTTTTGACTTAATTAGTAATTAATGATATTCACTTTTAATAATTAACAATATTAAAATTATTAATATTTCCCTAATTGTATATCTAGTTATTTAAGTGTACACACACACACACACACACACACACACACATATATATATATATATATTTCACTATAGGCAAGATAAAAATAATAGTAATAATAATAATTTAGTTCTATAATTAGTGTGTCTCGAAACTTTTATAAATTTGAGGAGTGTTACATAAGGCCTCGCAAAAGGAGAGCCGTGGATGCCGGAGGGGAAATCCTGGTTTCCATTGACTCGATGGAAGATGACTTGGTTCTGAGAGAGACGACGACGATTCATGTAAGAGAAGATGCTGGGGCAGGCACCGAGGCCCCGCAACTAGAAAAGGTGGTTGTGGATGTGCTGGTGCGTCCTCAGGGAGAGACGACCGTGGTGGGGGCACTTGACGGCGGCCCTACACCTCCGAGGCAAGAGGATGCTTCATCCTCTGGGTGGCAATCGATGTTTCTTCTCCCGCTGGTGACAAAAGAAAAGTTATCGCCGAGGAGGGTGACGAGTCGGGTTCTAATATTGACTTGGACGATATGAGGATGATCGAAAGGGGCTCACCCAACTTGAGGTGAGACTGGAGGGAGTTTCTAGGACCATCACAATCCCAATGGATCGTGATTTGCTTGTAAATACCAAGCAGGTAGTCCTTGCAGTCCTCTCTGTTTTGACGTCGAGGGTGAGACTCTCAAGAAGATAACCGACAGTACTTTGTCGAAGAGTATCGCCGGCCTCTCTCTCACGGTAAGTACAATTGCTATCTTCCCTTTTCCTAATGCCTTAGCTTATTTTTGAGTTATACTCTCTTTTCTTTCATTTATAGATGGTTATTCTGGAAATTGAGAGTGCTTGGAGGGAGAAAAGCATAAAGAGATTTTTGTGAAGCTGAAAGGAAAGTATACCGAGTACTATGGGAAGTATCAGGATCACCGAAGTCGGCTTTGTGAGGGAGGCGATGTGCTGGCTTTGAGAGAATATTTGAAGAAGAGGGATGAGGAGCTGATAGCGGCCGTAGAAAAGTGTAGCGTCCTCGAGGGAACGTTGATGTAACACCCCGTACATTCGGACTAGGTGTGCATATGTTAAATGGGTATTAATTGGATATTTTAGACATATGAAGTCCTAGTGAGATGAGTATGGGTGAAAATAGTTATTTCAGAATCAAGATGGAGAGTGAGGTGCATAAGATTCTACAAAATCGACTAAGTTTACAAAAGGTCCGTCTTCCAGCAGGATTTAATGAAATGTGAAAGTAATTTGGGAAAACTCAAAAGATATAACTTGTAGGCCTTTGAAATAGCTTTCCAACGATATATTGTGAAGCCCGAACGGATCTCTGTATAAAAGGTTATGTGCATTTTACAGAGCAGTACGCAATATGCGCGCCCAGGTGCGCGCCTAGAGGGATCACGTGCGCGGCCGCGCACTTGTGGCAGTGCTACTACCATTTTGCGCGGCAAGGTGCACGGTCAGGACTTCAGGTGCGCGGGGGGCGCACCGTGGGGGTCATTTTCAAAGCCCTACTTCGTCCCCCACACCCCAAAACACAAAAACTTGCTCTACAAAGAGAAGCTCTCAAGAACCTAACTCCTCAAAGGTCCCTCCACCATCCAAGGTAAGTTCTAATGATGATTCTAAGTTGATATCAATTCCCCAACACATTATTAACATGGTTAAACCCTCCAAATCATTATATATTCGATTGGGGCATCATTGTTGAGAGAAGAAATCCAAGAACTCGAATTCAAGAAGATTGAACGTCGAGAAGGTAATATCTTCACCCTCTATTTGATTATAGCGTTGGATTATTGATTGTAGACTATAAGTTCATGAGATACGAGTTGATTGGTTTGATAGAAAATCATGAACAATTATAGGTTTGGCTTGTTGATTGTTCATTATTGGTTAAGGGTGTTGTTTATCTTATGGGTGAAGAAGAATGATATTGATTATAAGAAATTTGAGATTTTAAAATCTATCTAGGAGCTAAGAGAATAGCTTGTTGGGTGTAGAAACACCATTAATAAGGTTTATGAAGCTTTATGCCACCAAGTGATTGAGAAAATGCCTAAGTGACCAAAACATGAGTATTATTGCTAATATGGAATCCCTTTGACTTGTATTGCTATAGATTAAAGTTGAAAGGTTTGACAAACATTGTATTACGCTCAAGAGCAGGAAGTTAAGGTATGTGAGGCTAACTCTCTATGTTTGGGAATGTTAATGATTCTCCCTATATTACGTTTCTTTTACGACATTACTAATTGCCTCAGAAATATAGTTTAGCCTAGTTCCTTGAATAGTTGTAGAACTTCTATTCTCTAGCTTCATAACTCATTCATGATTTGTGAGCTCAGTGCGTATTTAATATAGA